CGAGAAAAAGGGTGAGCCGAGTTTGCCAGCGATTGCGTTGGTATCAGTACGACTGGCTACTGCATCGTAGAAAGCCACCACTGTAAACTATGTGAACAAGCTCGGTGAGGTGAGCATTTATACCGTGTTATCGGCATCTCACGCAGATAACAACATTCAAGTTAGGTTCGTGGACAAAGTGACCGAGAGCAGGATCGACAGGGAGGTTAATCCACAGGCTCACAGAGGAGGACGTCAAGCACTTCAAAATTTGCGCCCCTCCGACTATTTGCAAGCAGGACGATCATCGATCATGGATGCCCCCGTCACAGATGAACAACGTGAACGTGTCAATCGTCCAAATCACAATCGAGCTTCATCACCCGGACGAGGAGACAGCCGTCGTCCTTGGAATGCCAACACCCATGTCGACAAGGGCAGAGGCACAGGCAAGTCCAAGACTCCTAAGGAACGTGAGCGTGAACGTCAACGTCTCCGGCGCTGGGAGGAAGACAATCGGTCATATCGTCTCTTTCACTGCTGGCAAGTTCGTGGCACTGGCTACTACGTGCAGGTGGAATCCGATCGTGGCCTATTTCTTCGGTGTTTTTCTGATTCCGCGAAGTCATTTCAGGGGATCGTCATTGACGTAGAGAAGTGTCACAACCTTTAAATTGAGAACTCATGGCTCTTATCCTAAACAATCCTCAAAGTTGCGGCGGATATTTTCTTTTTGTCTAATCGCGACTCTCTTCCAAAGTGAGTGTAGTGCCAGAGACGCAACTCATGGGGGGTGCGAACGGACCTCGATGCTTAGTCCAATTCGCAGGTGTCGCAATCTGAGCTATGAATCTGATGTCATGTGCCACCGTGTACATAGAGCAAGGCACCGTCTTGCAGACCTTGTCTCACTGCTTTTATGTTGCCCGCGCTTGGGCCCGCTAGCCGGACCATGCGACAGTGCCTGCCATAATTTCTCTGCACACAACGCAACTTTGGCTCAAGAATATGCTTCGGCATATCAACTATTGCCATACAAGCTAAAGTGCTTGTGGTCTACTGATCTTGAGGATTCGAGCCATCCCCTTGCACAGACAATTCGTCGCGTGTCTCTGGCGAGAGCACATTCGGACCGAGTTTGCCTGCAGGGACTGCTGTGGATACAGCTTGACAGCTGCAAGTTCGTAAAGGGCAGCAACAACTTATCAACACGTTCGGTGAGGTGAGCATCAACACAGTATCATCGACCCACACAAGGAGCGGGGTGCGGACACGCCATTTTACCTTAGCGCGGACAGTGCTTTGAAGAGAGAATCCCTACAGCGAAACTGTTTGGGGACTTTCCAGAGAAATTTTTGCTGTGTGCGAGACGCACAGCAGATCGTATGGACTGTTGGCAATGGAAATTTCGATCATCGTGAAGCCTTCGGAGTTGTGACCAAGGCAAGTAGAATGAGTCCACAATGATGAAAGCACAAGTTATGTCCCGTGGCTACAAACAATGTGGACCATGCAAACCGTGAGTGTTTCTACATGTTCGACTGCTGGTAAGCCGCTGCTGTGGTTGATCGGGCTGTGAGCCACGACATCTCATGAGCCCGGTTTAGCTTTTTTGTGAGACCGGATCTGCCGTAAGTTGCAAAAGTGTCGACGGTACCAAAAAGTAACAGTCTGTGACACAGTTTGACTTCGTGGAAATTCGTAAAGGTAACCAGGAAAGACGGGTAACAACTTTGTACAGCAACCCCAGACCCCTATTTACTGCATATCATGGTTTAACTTCACCAACAATGTGATGAGCATGTACATGTCAAAACTGTCCGGAATATGCTATATGAGGCTCAGGGTGTGAGTGCGAAGAAAAGCCCGTTGGCTTGTTTTTGTGTTGATATCAACGTCGGCTGTGCAGTACATTCTTCCTGTGCGTCTTGAGGTCAAGGATCTCTTCGATGCAGAAGCAACTGATGTTCAAGCTGTTGAAGGACTTTTGTCGGAATTTGTTTAGGATTGTACCGAAGTTGTGTGTTGGGGTGAGTCATAGCTGTGGTGTTGGCCCCGCAGGAGGTGAAAGCGTTGCGGAAGGCGGCGAACATGAGCTTGGTCTGGTTTTTTTCGAAAAGACACGAGATTGCTCAATACATGTTGTTGCTTTTGTGAAACATATTGAGACCCAAGAAGACATGTGTAGAACTATAGTTTATAGAGTCAATCGTGCTGAGTCTAACAAGAGCCGAAACGCGCAATCGAGCTTGTGCGCAGGAGTTGAAGGACGTGTCAGGCTTAACAGCATTCAATGTGAATTGTATGGTGGTGCCTTCCGTGAAGCCGCATCGGCAGAATTAAGCAAGGTCAAGCAAACGCTTGCTGCGGCTTTCGAGGCCAGGTTGTGGTTCTCACCCTGTTGCCCGCGCTTCGGATGCCCGACGAGCCTTCTCAAGGCCATCGACGTCAACAAAGACGACATGGTGTCAAGAGAGGCCTGCTGCAAAGTGCTCCGCTGGTGTGTCCATGCCGCTTGTGCTTCCGGTGATCGTCCCAGAGCATATGGCTTTTCAAAGTCCTGTGCTTGCCTTCGAATCTGTGCTGCATGCCTGAAGTAGAGTCTCAGGAAAGGTTTCCGCGTTCCCTGCAGGGTGCCACTGAGAGCAAAAGCTTTGCCCTCACGAATCGTCAGGAAGAGCCACTGCTCTCCACTCGAGGGGACGAGGTGTTTGCCGCCGAAGCTCAATTTGCTTTCGACGTCCTGCTCTGCTCCACGGGCGGCACCTGGAAGGTGGAACACGATGTCGCGGGGCAGTCTGTGGAAGACCTTGTTGCTGCCGCTGGGCGCCCAGATCGGCATGTTGATTGCAAAGGCCCAAGCGTCTTGGGCTTTGTCAAGAGCAGGCAAGCACGTCCCCGGCCAAAGCGATGTCACAAGGTGCGCCGCCTTTGCTAGAGCCCTACAGCCCCACTGTATACAAGTCAAAGTACCCTACACGAATACCCTCCCCATACAGGTCAGGCCAGTTTCGTGAGTTTAAGATCAGTGGTCGTCACTGCACTTCAGAGAGATGCTCCGTCCAGATGGGGTTGATGTGAATGTGGCGAAGAGGCTGCCCCAAAAGCTTCCTTTGGATTATTGTCAATATGGCAGTTGTAATTCGGCTAGGTCTCGTACGTGCCAGCCCGCCCTTCCTTGACGTGTTTGGCTTTCCACTGTTCTTTCTGGTATCCTGTCACGCAGTGCTAGCTGCTAGCTATTCTTTGTTGTGCCTCGGCTGTGTGTCTTGTGCCATGCTTTGCGTTAGGTAGTCGGGCACTGCATTGTCGGCTTTGGGGTTTCTTGAGCTGACCTGGGTTCCTGGAACACGAGACCTGGACTGAAGCGCGTGAGCCAACAAGCTGATGTGCAAGACTCCGTCGAGAGATGGGCTCTGGAGAAGCTGAGGAGCTCTTAGGGTACTGCAGTTTATGGGAGTTTCGTGCTTTCTTTGTGTGCCATGTCACATGAGACTCCAAAGCCAATCGCAGCGGCTGGCTTTGACAGGCAGCTCGCCGATGGTCAGTGCTGCTGGCACAGAGGCCCCTGACTTGAAAGAGATTCTCTTTGGGCTAAGGATGCTCAGGCTTCTGTGGTTGGAGAAGCATTGATTCGTGCGAATTCTCGCTCGCCACATCTTCGCGGGTAGACACCGGGCATCCTGCACTGGAGCTGGCAAAGACAGCAGCCGAACCTCAGGAAGGGAAGCAGTGATAGAAGTATGGCTTGAATTCTTGACTTCTCGCTGCGTGGTGGGGGAGCTTTAGCCATCGGGGGGCGAGGCTTGTCAGCCTGCGGCGGCATTTTCCACCCAGCCGTGGGAATTTCTGGCGTCGGTCGGAACCTGGCACCTTGGCCCTAACAAGAGCTTTCCAACTTGAAGCTCAGGCTTGTTGTGGCAAGAACGGCATGTAGGGCACCCACCTTGGACCCACATGCGATTTCCTCTGAAAGGTATACGCCACTGCGACAGACTCCCACTCCCACCGCAGAGGCAGATAGACTGATGATGGTTCCCAGATTACCGTCGTGTAGTAGCTCCGGTGATGCTTGAAGTGATGTGCTGCTTCTTCACGAATGCCATTAGCATGAGGTGGACGTTCGGTTTTGCACAACACAAGCGAGTCATCCTCCTCAACATCTTTAAATGAACGCCGGACCAGCTTGCTCCCTACGCTTTTGAGCAAGACAGAGTCAGAGCTTACTGATGTGTGTCATTCTGAAACTTCGCAATCTCCGAAGAAGGTTCCTGAAGCTGTAATGCTTGTGACTCTGGAGGTTGTGGCTACAGCGCTGGGCTGCGATTGGTGGAAGCGGCCCTCTGCGGTCACGTGGTTCACGCCGCTTGTGCTTCCGGTGATCGTCCCAGAGCATATGGCTTTTCAAAGTCCTTTGCTTGCCTTCGAATCTGTGCTGCATGCCTGAAGTAGAGTCTCAGGAAAGGTTTCCGCGTTCCCTGTAGGGCCTACTGTAGGGTGCCACTGAGAGCAAAAGCTTTGCCCTCACGAATCGTCAGGAAGAGCCACTGCTTTCCACTCGAGGGGACGAGGTGTTTGCCGCAGAAGCTCAATTTGTTTTCGACGTCCTGCTCTGCTCCACGGGCGGCACCTGCAAGGTGGAACACGATGTCGCGGGGCAGTTTGTGGAAGACCTTGTTGCTGCCGCTGGGCGCCCAGATCGGCATGTTGATTGCAAAGGCCCAAGCGTCTTGGGCTTTGCCAAGAGCAGGCAAGCACGTCCCCGGCCAAAGCGATGTCACAAGGTGCGCCGCCTTTGCTAGAGCCCTACAGCCCCACTGTATACAAGTCAAAGTACCCTACACGAATACCCTCCCCATACAGGTCAGGCCAGTTTCGTGAGGTTAAGATCAGTGGTCGTCACTGCACTTCAGAGAGATGCTCCGTCCAGATGGGGTTGATGTGAATGTGGCGAAGAGGCTGCCCCAAAAGCTTCCTTTGGATTATTGTCAATATGGCAGTTGTAATTCGGCTAGGTCTCGTACGTGCCAGCCCGCCCTTCCTTGACGTGTTTGGCTTTCCACTGTTCTTTCTGGTATCCTGTCATGCAGTGCTAGCTGCTAGCTATTCTTTGTTGTGCCTCGGCTGTGTGTCTTGTGCCATGCTTTGCGTTAGGTAGTCGGGCACTGCATTGTCGGCTTTGGGGTTTCTTGAGCTGACCTGGGTTCCTGGAACACGAGACCTGGACTGAAGCGCGTGAGCCAACAAGCTGATGTGCAAGACTCCGTCGAGAGATGGGCTCTGGAAAAGCTGAGGAGCTCTTAGGGTACTGCAGTTTATGGGAGTTTCGTGCTTTCTTTGTGTGCCATGTCACATGAGACTCCAAAGCCAATCGCAGCGGCTGGCTTTGACAGGCAGCTCGCCGGTGGTCAGTGCTGCTGGCACAGAGGCCCCTGACTTGAAAGAGATTCTCTTTGGGCTAAGGATGCTCAGGCTTCTGTGGTTGGAGAAGCATTGATTCGCTGGCCACTTGAGCACAACCCACAAGCCCAAATCCTTAAACGACATGCCCTCAACCCAGTTTGGCAATCAGGCTATGATTTGTGACACAGGCTCCATCCCAAAGCCTTGAAGCCGCAACCATCGACTCCAAATCCCGAAGCCGTAAACCCTGAACAATCAACCCTACATGTGCTAGAAGCTCGCGCTGAAGTTTTGCAGGCGGCGGCCCGCTTGCTGGGGCGCTTGGACGCAGCCAGGGCCCCGGCGGTACCTTTCACTCCAGTGCACCACCCAAAACACTCTTTCGACACACCTAGTCCTGAAGTTGCAAACCAGGACTCCGCACCTTCGGAATCTAAAATCTCACTTGGAAGTCAGGGCTTCTGGGGCGCACCCGCTGGAGCCGTCGTGCACTCAGCGATGACACGGATGAAACCACCTTTGCCCTGTCAAAGGTTATAGAGTTTGGGGTACACCTAGATGCAGAGGATCTAAAGGTCTGGAAGGGCGTGGGACTCGCCGAAAGGTTCTTCTGGAATTCAGCCACTCCGTAGTTGCTTGTGAAGATGCCAGTGCTTGAAGAGACGCCTGTGATGAATTCCAAGAGAACCTTTCGGCGAGTCCACCTTTCATGTGCAATGCCCCACTTTAGTTGGCAGTCCTTCGAGATGGGCCCCCATAAAGAGACCCAGGAAAGATTGCTGGTCAAGCCAGCTGTGCGAGATCGCCCGAAGATGGGGCGCCCACCCCAACGACGCTCAGAGCAAGTATTACTCCTAGGCCAAATGGTTTGAGGCTTTGGGCTCGATACTTCCCGACATGAAAGGTGCGTGAGTCTGAGTGTGAGTGTGAGCATGTTTGCGCGGGATTCACTATGTTTAGCCTGGCGGGGCTTCGTGTCAGTAAGATGGAGGGACTTGTGTTTTTTTGTGTTTCAGCAGGCGCATTTAGTGTCTCGCATGTGGTTTGTCAAAAGTTTCCCGAGTTTCCCGTGTGATGGAGTGAGCTCGCGTTGGTGCTTGATCCAGGTTGATCCAGCGTTGCAATCCCAGTCGGTGTTTTCAGTGTGTTCCAGCGGATGCTGGTGCTGCAAGGAGCTGTTGCGAAATTGGTAGCGACATGCACCGTTGCCACAAGACTCCTGCGCAGTTCACCTCTGTCGTCAATTGTTCTGAGTCAGGAAAACGAGCATTGGCAGCAGGGTAGGCTCGTAGTCGATGTTCGGACGTTTTCGGGTGGCGTACAAAGTGAGGAGAGGCGCGGCGAGACGATATTGCATAGCTCTGGACTTTGGTGCCCAGTGCGGTGTTCAAAAGTAGCCGTTGGCCAAAGCAGTTGAAACGAGTCTGCTACGGGGTTGACGTGCAGATGTTGCGTGGCCAACCTCTTCTCACGACCTTCAGCATGGCCAAGCTGAGCCCCAGACTTTGCCCGAAACGGGATGTCCTAGAAACTAAACCCGCAAGACGGCAAAGGTGTCCCGCAAAGGACACGGAAGGCAGGGCCAGCTGAAGCTCAGTGCAGAGACCATGAAACAGGGCTACAGTCGTCATAGTCGAGACGGTTTTCGGATCCTGGGTTGTGGATGCTTCGTAAGCTGGACACTGCATCGCAACCTACCCGAAGATTCTGCTAACACATTTATTCCGGAAGGGTTCGTTCGATTTGATCGGTAAGCGTTTTTGGACTGACATCGGGGAGTTCTTTGCCAACGTAAGTTGAAAGGCTGCTTGGACTACAGAGTTGGGTTTAAGTTTAAACTCAGGATTGTTCACAGCATCCCTTCTGCTCCTTTGCAGAGGCAGCATCTTCCGGGACGGCTGGCTTCGTGTAAATATTTCTGACTTCGTGCTGTGCGAGATACAGCAGAGCACCTGCCCAGCACTCACGCTTCACAAGAGGCTCCCGTTAGCCTTGGCGCTTCATTCGTGTCTATTCAATACCCTCATTTGTGCAAGTTCCAGACATCAATGAAGGCAGACGTTGCAAAGCCTGCCGTGCTATTGAGGGTTTGGCGGCCAAATGGCAGCACGGCATGAAGCGCACTCTGAGCATTTGAAGGTTTCAAGCACAGATTCATCCATTCATGGAACTGAGCACAGCAAGGCCGACAACAACGTGGTCGATGGGCATGGGATGCCTTGCATGGTTTCAAGGAGCCCAAAATGTCCCATCGTTTCCCAGAGCTGTTGAATCCTGTGCCGAAACGTAAAGGCATGCGGGTGCAAGTGGTTGCACACGAAGGCGTGGATTGTCGTCGTGTGCGTTGAGGGCACGTGCGCTCCGCAGCCGCGAGAGCTTTCAAGAGCCGATGGCCAGCTGTCCCCTGCCGCTAGCGAGACTTTCGTGGGTTACAAGTATCCTTAAGTACAGTTACCGTAATTAGTGTCAGTTACTAAGTCCCATGATCCTCCAGGTGGACCTTAAACCCTGAACCCCAAACTGCTAAACCCTCAACCTTACCTGGCCTCCTTCAGAACTTTCAGCTCCAATACAGAAACCCCGCAGTCACAAGAGGCCAGCAGGGTTTTGGGGTATCTTGCAGTTTCTTCACCTAGGAGGTATGATGGAGCTTAGAATCCTAAGTACTCGGACCCCTCTAGCCCTAAACCCTACACCCTGAACCCCAGAACGCTAAACTTCTCACCCCTGAAGCCTAAAGCCGATCCTAAGTAATATCGAGACCGATAGATTTCCCACTATTATTGGGCTTCTTCTTATGACAACAATAAAAAATCAAAACCCTTCTCTAAGCATCATGGCCCCTCCAGGTGTCCTCCTTGTAAGTATAGGATAATCTACTCCAGAACCCTATTCTGACTGTTAACAGTCGTCACTTGGAGGGGCAGGGGACGTAGCAGGTAGGTTATAAGTAGAGTCATAAGTACCCGAAGTGGAGTTACCCCAAGTATGAACCTACTTATAACCTTCTTATTTAATATAAGTATTAGTAAATCAGCATCTTCTGGGACAGCTGTCTTCGTGTAAATGTTTCTGACTTCGTGCCGTGCGAGATACAGCAGAGCTCGCACTGCACAGCATGGCTGGCACCTGCCCAGCACTCACACTTCACAAGAGGCTCGCGTTAGCCTTGGCGCTTCATTCGTGTCTGTTTGGCGGCCAAATGGCAGCACGGCACGAAGCGCACCCTGAGCATTTCATCGATTCATGGAACTGAATGGCTTGCATAGTTTGAAGGAGCCAAAATGTCGCATCGCTTGTCAGTGGAAAGTCATGCGGGTGCAAGTGGTTGCACACGAATGCGTGGATTGTCGTTGTGTGCGTTGAGGGCATGTGCGGTCCGCGCGACTGTCTTCAGGGCCTTGATTTTGTGAAACTCCCACATGTCCAGGGTAGAAGGTATCAGTAAGTAAGGCATGCATTAGTAAGGCGGCACGCATTGGCATGCAATGTCGACCACTGAAGCAGACGGAGCAGAAGTTGGGTGGAAAGGCCCCCTGGCTTTGGCTTGCATAGTTTCGAACCAGCTAGTAGATTGAAGACGACAGAGAGTATGCAGCAAAACCTGCACTCCCGCACGTTCGCCAGGATTCTTCTGTGCGATCTGGCCGGCTCAGAGCAGTTAAAGAAGTCCGACGTGGGCGGCTCAATACGAAAGGGGCAGGTGTGCTTTTTGCATGGCTGCCATGGGGTTCACCCTTGCGCCTGAGGTCATTGAAAGCTTTGGGCGATGCGGCTTGCCTCAATTCAATGGCAAGTCAAGTCTTTCTTTGGCTTTGCATAGCATTGCTGAGGTCACGGAATCCTTGGTGAAAGGCTTCACACGGGGAATTGGATCCGAAGTCGGGGATTGGCATGGCCTTTTGCTCGGAGGTGCCGGGCAATTGCCGTACAAGAATCACAAGCTCATGCCCTGGATGGAATGTAGCTGGCTCAGCTCGCGGCCTCCGCTTGGACCCTTCTCATCTCAGCAAGGAGAGCGCCTCAGATCTAGCCCTTTTCGCATAACTAGTGACCTAGTGGACTTCTTGCATCTGGGACTCCTGCTGTTGTCAAGTGCACACCTGGACTTTCGTGTGCTGGCCCCTTTGATTTGCTCACCCTGGCGTAGCGACATTTATGCAGCAGCTCGGCAAAGCTGGTTCGCCTGCTTCGGTTTTTGCCCTTCGCCGGATCGCGCCTGCGCCATCGGTCCGGGATCCGTCTTGAGCCGTTGCCGGCCCCGGCCCAACAGCACGCTTGCCTGGGTCTGCCACTGCTGGTGTCTGGTGTCTGGATTTATGCACCTGGCCAGCCCGCTCTTGCTGCGGATTTTGGGCCTCTTTCGACTTTCGGAGGCCGTGGCCGGCTCTGTGCGCCT